ATATATATATATATACACACACACAATACAAATATATAATGTACAAAAATTCTGGGGGCTAAGCCCCCCTTGTCCTTAAAACCTAGTGACACCCCTGCACTAAACATAAATTAGTGGAAGCTAACCGCTAAGACTCAGTCAGTCATATGTCAGACTGACACTGGGATAAATCAGCCAATCCAAACCAGAGTTATCAGTTAAACCCTTTCAGAATAAAAGCATTTCTTTGATTAAGTTAGGATTTTTATAAATACATTTTGAAGATAGTCAAACAACAAATGCAGTTACTTTTTTCTAATATTTTATACACAGTCAATTTTTGAATTTGTTCATAAAATATTGTTAAATGTTATTTTATTTCCTTTTAAGGCTCTTAGTTTGAAGTTTAGCTGGTAAAGATGGTGCCTGACAGCCAGTGCTGCTTATAAGAGGGAAAAGTTTTTATTTAATTTGAGATAAATAGCATAAAAATAGAGGTTTTATACTTACATTACATTTTAGCTGACTTGAAATTAGCAGAATCTAACTTAGTGAAAGCTACTTGGTCTGCTAACGTTTTCAAAAGTAGCAATTGGCAGTTACAGTTATCTTTAATTAATCAGAAATGTACATAATTATATGTTATACTCATAAAACCCCTGACGTAACTCTGGTAATGTCACTAGAATTTTATTTTGAAGGGTTCAAAAAGGGGCCATCGTGACCAAGCCTTTTATTTTAGTTTGAGGTCAGATAAATTGATCATTTATTAAAAGTAATAATCGGCCACAAAGCTTCAGTGTTAGAAAAGAAGCTGTTTGTGTTTAACTGTGTGTGGACAGGTTAGTTCTGACTAAACCAGTGTGTAAACACACAACATGAAGAGCAAACAGGAGTCATGGGACACGGCCTGACTCCATGATGAAGAGCGTGAGCTGTGCAAAACTTTTAAACTTGTTTCCAAAAACTCCCACTTTGTTTTATTCAAGTGGTCTGAATCCAGAGGTTTATAGTAACTAAGTACATTTACTTCATTAAAGTACTTTTGTTTTTTTCTTTTTGAGGATTTGTAATTTTACCAATTATTTTTAACAGCTACTTTTACTTTTATTTTGTTATGTTTTAAAGCTAAAATTATACTTTTACTTCTTTACTTTAAAATGTAACACCTAGTAACTCGTTACTAAATTAAATCTGTTTGAAGTCATCATGAAAAATGTTTCTGCTCTTAAAAATGAAGAGTTGAATTTACTCAAACTCATGTCAGCTGGTTTCACTCAGTCTAGTTGAGTAAACAGAGTAAAGAATATAAAAATATTGATCAATTTACTCAACCTGACAGTGGAACCAGTTTGTTTCAGTAAATTCAACAGTTTATTTCTTAGAGAGTGTGTAGAAGTACTTTTACTTTCCCAATTGTGCAGTTTTATGACTTTTATTTGAGTAATTTTCTCATCAGTGAATTTATTTTTTCATTTACTTTACAGACCTCTGAGTGAACCAAAGGTTTTTCAGGTTTTCTGAAGGTTGGGATGTTTGCTGCTTTTTGTTTGACTTATTTTCTGTTTTGGTAATTAATAAAAAAATGATTCAAGTGGACAAGTGGAAGGCCTTTGTAGAACTTTTGTAAGAAATACACTCAGCACAGGCCCTGACGACATCATCATCCTTCAGCTGATCATCTTTATAACAAATGTTTATTCTCAGGAAACTCATGTAAAACTGTTGCTTTAGGTTTTTAATCATAGATTCAACAGAAGAAATGGGACCAAACCACAACCTACCCTTAGCAAAAACTAGTATATGCAAGTTTTCTTGAAGTATTCTAATTTTAAACTTAAAATAAAATAGCATACTTCCAGTTTACTTTTTATGTACTTATCTAAGATATGCTTAACCAAGTTTATCTTAAACTATACTTGGCTTGTACTAAAACTAAAAAATTGAGTATACTTAGTTTATACTATTGTTCAACGTTTTGGCCAAGATAAACTTTAGCAGTAAACTTTTCACACAGACTGGTTTTTTTGTAGAAAATTTCAAAATTAAACTAAAAGTATACATAGAAGATTACTTTCAGTATACTTTTGAGCATACTTTCATAAACTTGTTGTGGGCCAACTTAGTCCTAGAAGTATACTTTTTATTAAACTGCTAGGATACTTATATCATTGTACACGGTAAATAAAAGTACACTTAGGGACATACACTTGTATATATTTAGTATACTTCATGACAAGTACTTAAAGTATACTTCTTTTTAGTAAGCTTATAAACATAATAGTATACTTAAAGTATAAACTAAAAATGTCCCAATTTAGTTTGGACGAGTAATAAATCAATATACTTTCAAGTATTCTACACTGTAAAAACTGTCCATCTAACCAAGTTTAAAACCTTATATCAGCCAAAAAGTCTTTTTGATCTTGTTTTCAGACTGATTTACTAAACAAGAACTGATTGTGTAAGAATAATCATCTTGTTTTCAGAATGTGTAAGATTATTTGTCTTGTTAGTCTGAAAATTTGACTCTAATTAAGTCAAACATTTCTGCCAGTGGAGTAAGTACATTTTACTTGGTAAGATTCGTGAAATAAGAAAAAACTGAGTCAAATTAAGTATTTCAAGAATCTTACCAAGTAAAATGTTCTTACTCCACTGGCAGAAATGTTTGACTTAATTTCAGTCAAATCAAGTATTTCAAGAATCTTACCAAGTAAAATGTTCTTACTCCACTGGCAGAAATGTTTGACTTAATTAGAGTCAAATTTTCAGACTAACAAGACAAATAATCTTACACATTCTGAAAACAAGATGATTATTCTTACACAATCAGTTCTTGTTTAGTAAATCAGTCTGAAAACAAGATGATTATTCTTACACA